CGAATCTTGCGATACCCTTTTTCGAGCAATGCTATAAACAACTTCCCCAGTCACAATTGAACAATAACATGAACACAAAGCAAGAAAATTAAAAATTAAATTAAAAATTAAATTAAAAATTATTGGAGATTATTTTTTACCTGCCAAAGACTAGCTTTTTCAGACCAGAATTTAGAAGCAGCAGAATTCAAGAAATCAGAACCAAACCCAGAATTGTTTCTCTCTCCATAAACAGAACCCATTTCAATTTCAATTTCATCCACCACCCCTTCCGCCGCCACCTCAGCTTTCCCATACCTCAGCCCAACCTCGCCGTAGCAATCCCCACCTCCGCCGCCGGCGTCTTCCATCTCGCAGTTGCTCCGGCTGATGAAGTTGAGCATTTCGTCACGTTCGCCGACATCCCTCTTCAAATCCTCGATGCTGGCCTTCAAATCGGCCTCCACGCCTTCGAAATCCTCGAACTTGCTCTTCAGGTAGGCGATTTCCTCGGCGCAGTCGTCGATCTGCTGCAGCAGCCGCTTCTCCTCCTGCCGCCACGCGTGGCGGTGGCTGGCGAAGATCTCCACCACCCTCGCGTTCGCCTTCGCGTCCTCCTTCCTCCTCGAGAGGAGCTGGCTCAGCTGATCCTCCGTCTGAATCAGCTTCGACGAGAGAGATTTGTTCTTGTTCTGCAGTGCGGAGAGCAGCGGAATTGTGTTCTTGGGTAGCAGCCCAACAAAAATTGTGAAGCTCAGCCCTAAATAGGAGGAGAGTAGCTTCTGATAATGCTCGCCGTCGTGAAAAATCCGTTCTTGATTTTGTTCTTGGGCCGCCATTGTTGGTCTCTGCAAAACCTTTGGTTTTTTTTTTTAGTTGGAAAATGTGTGGGGTATTTTTGAAAGGGTGTGTGTGTGTGGGTTTTCTTGCTTGGCTGAGTGAGTTTGTATGTATTGTTGTATGTATGTATGTACTTTTTGGGTTTGCCTTTTTGTTTACTTGTTTTCAATTGCAACAGTTGCTCGGAGTGGTCGATTGTTCCCTTTTTGGTGTAATTTTCTAAAATCAAATCCATGTCTTCTATATATTGTCTACTTATTATGCCCAAATAATAAATTTCAATAATCAATATTCTGAAAATGTTGCTTGGTACATGACAATATTCGGATTGCAATCGACGAAATTCGTACATTTAGCTCTCGTTCTCACACGCTATACATAATCTCAGAGTTGTGTGTAAATTTTTTGAGTGAAATTTACCTAATAGAGGACGGAAATTCGAATATTTTGCCGGTAAGTTCTTTACTTCACTTGCCACTTCAAATTTTTTTAATTTTTTTTAACGATGTTGTTCGATTCTACGTCATGTCTTGCAATTCCTCTGTCGCATCTTGATTTCTCGCGTGGACATTACTTACGTCGCAAAAGTTGTCATCCTGACAAAAATCATATGACACTCAAGTTAGCTATGTACGATATAAAATTCAGAGAATTGAAGAGACTATTGGAGAGTTATGAATTGCATACATCTGATTGTGAGGATTTCGGGTATTTATATGGATAAACATATCTCATGGGCGTAAGCCTCTTCACATGGGACAACCAACTCGTGCTTGTATTATTATCCTGAGTCAACTTGGGCTTGATTTGTGTGTCTTAATGGGCTAGGAAATTTGAATTTTTTGCGTGAGCCCATATCTTTTGTTTCCGCTGTGGGTGAAAGTGGAAGAAATTTTCCGAATTCACCTATTGCAATGTGAATATTTTTCGATTTTTAAACAATATTTTTCAATCCAAAATCTGAATGATTTTTGAGTTTTTCTTAACGAAATTTGATTACATATTAAAATTATGAATTATGATTTGATTTGCAATTTCCAAAAATTCCAAAAACAAAAAAAAAAAAATCAAAAAGTTATACCTTAAATTCAAATATTATTATGTGTTTTACATTATAATTGATTAAAAAATGGAAATTCTATATTTTGCTAATCTTGACCCGAAAATTTTCTATTGTTGAACAAGTTTTTTCATTCTAATTTCTAAAATTCCGATTTTCAATTTTTCCCATAACAAAATTGGATTAAATTTCACTTCCGGAAAAATAGAAATTTCCCCAAACTGATAATTTTGATCCCCTCGATTTTCTGCCCTAGCTTCCACACATAATAAGGGTATGTGTTATATAAAGTAATTCAAAGAGGTAGAAATGAAAATTTCTGAGAAACAAAGGACTAGAGTCTAAAAGTACAATATTTATCAAAAAAAAAAAAAAAAGTCTAAAGTACAAAATAACATCTGATTTCTTAAAGTGATGTGATTCTTTTTTTTTTATATATATAATTAAAGTGATGTGATTCAACAGACGTATTTTTCATTAATGAATATGCAGATTCTCATATCAAAACAAATTCAGATGCAGAAAGTAGTTCAGAGTTTTAACATGCTTTTGGCAGAATCTTAAAAGGTATCAATTTTATTATATTTTATATTTTTTTTAACGTTGTATTCCACTAATGCACAAGAATTGAATTAATATTTAAATACAAGAATCTGAACGAAATTAATTGAAATACATATTAAATTCTGATTTTCGATCAAGATTTTAATTTTCAAAAAATATTTCACGAAAATATTCCGTTGATTCACACACAATCACAAGCATACATATGAATATATATAAAATAAGTACTTAAAACAATACAAATGCATATATATGCATGGTGAAATTTATACTCGATAAAATTTACGAAACGGAGCGTAGAATAAACTGGATTTATGAATATGGCCAACCGGCCAAGTATGGTGTATCGCGAGTAATAACGCGAATAAAATATAGCCATATAATATAGCGAGTACAACATTCTCGAAAAATTTTCACTTAATTCAATGAGTAATTGAAGTGTACCTCTTCTTCCGAAGAACAATATTTCCAGTAACTTCATCCTTTCCCCTTTCTACACAACCGAATGGCGGATCCATCATACGCCTGCATTTCTTCAACGAGAGGCGATTGATTACATTATGTACAGCTCAAATAAATATTTCATATGTTTCGTCTATATATACGTAAATATTTATATATATAATTGCAATCGCCTCTAGAGAGTTTCTTCCACCACCTCAGCAGCTTGTAGCTCCGATTTTCCAGTATGTACATTTTTTTTAAATATACTCAACAATCGTTGATTTCAAGAATCGACCATAAGAGCATATCTCTCGCTGTATCCATCTTTTTTTTTTTGTGCAGTATTTCTTGCTAAGGTAGAATTGATGTAGAAGGGTGTTTCTGGTTACGAGAATTAAGTTTTGCACGAAGAGAATCAACGCCTTCCTTCCTTGCAGGAGATGCTGCAGCTTGTTCCTTGAGAGCTTCTTTTTCCAATTTCTTTTTTTCGGCATCTGCCAGCTGTTCATTTTCGTCGTGCGCTTTATGGAACATCTTATTGAAGACGACCAAAGTTTGAGTCACTGCATAAAGGAAAATAAATTTTTTTTAGAAGACACGAAAATTAAGAAAAGGGGAAATAGGTGACATCTAAAAGGCCTCGTTTGGTTGGTAAGATTAGTCATGATTAATCAAATAATTGGATCTTATTATATGTTTGGTTAGTCGTATGATGGTTAATTGAAGAATTGTGTATGACAATTCCCCACTCCAATTATATAATTGGGTTCTTATAATATTATATAATCTTGTCTTGTTTAATCCTATCTTGGCAACCAAACGAGGCCTTAAGGTACATAAAAATCTAATTCCAGCCAAACCTTGCTCAAATGGATATCTTGCTGGATCTTCGCCAAAATACTGTGACAGTGAGTCGGCATTTCTCCCCTGCATTTTACATTAGGTACGATGTTACCCACAAGCTTCCGATCATTATGAAAAATTAAAAAAAAAATAACAATAATAATAATAACCAACACGGGAAATAACAGTTAAGCTCACCACTTCAGAGTACAGGATGATAAGCGATCTCACTTCAGCCTCAGCGGTATCAAGGAAAGTTTTCAACACCTGTTACAAGAAAGTTTTGGAATTAATCACAACTTCGTAAATAAGTTTAGCTCCATATACTAATTTATTTCTAGCATATAAAATGTATTGAAAATCCTGATATGGTATCGAGAGAACCAAAAAAATGATGGGGAAGAATGTAAATCTAACACAATCTATACCCGAGCAAATAAATCAGAAGAGTAAACCGAGTTTCTTTCATTATATTCTCAATTAGTTCATGGACCAGTAAAATTAACAAGAGTTCAAATGATCTTACGACACTCCATATTCATTAAAATCAATTCATTACCTTCCGAAAACCCAAGGATACAGCACCATCATTCTCTGCTGCAGCGAGCTCCTGCTCAACCTTCTCAAGGCCTTTGCTAACTGCTTGCATTTCTTCGGCCAAAGACTTCAGTTGTATCTAGTTAAGCCAATAGTAAGATGAACAAGTTAAATATTATCTGCAATAATCATATCCTTCTTCGACATTGTGAGGGAATATCACAGTTAAATACTCTAAGACAAACCTTGGAAGCTGATTCCAAATGCACAAGATCTTTGCTGAAATCTAGCAAATCCGGCATTCTCTCAGCTATAATCTATAGAAATTTGACAAATTAGCACCGCATAAAACTGGCGATTAATTTTTTTTATTGGACATGATACTGTAACTATTGGCAGCAGTTGGCTGAAAACTGGTAACTTAAAAAATAGAAGTGCAGAGAGAAAACAAAATACAAAGTAGAACCCTACCTTGCATAAGTAATGCATTAAGGTCATTTTGTTATTTCTTGCACGAGTATCAGAAAGTTTGAGAAGGCTATCCAACTTGAATCCCACAGCAGAACCTGCAATGCAAATCATCAGCGATGAATTAAAATATTAAAATCTTAAGATCGAATAAAGGTTTGCAAATAATAGAAGACAATTAAATAGGGACTTATACCTCGTGCAGTGCCCTGATTTAATGCGTTTCCCAGAGTAAGGATCGTCTGCATAATTTCACGTAGTTTTAAAGACTCCTTGACCTACCACAATTCAACAAACAAGAAAGATAAAATAAATAGCACCTTTACAAGTGAGATGTGAAAATATTTAATCCAATAACAACAGTACCTCTCTAGCAGCATCATTAATTGTATTCAGGTTAAGTTTTAGGTCCTTCACCTGCAGAATGAAGCTATTTACGAAACACTACAACCAAGAATTGATCTCAGATTCAACAATGAACGATGGAGTATACAAATACGCACCTGGCTAGTAAAAGTTATTGTAAAAGCAAATACTCGTAATTTTGGTTCCACTCGTGGGACTTTCATTAGTTCCAAGAAAAACTGAAATATTCAGAAGAGCAACTGTTAGTAATATAAGTAACATAATGTGGCCCTTCCTCAATCAATCAATAAAATATCTAGCAAACCTGTTCACACTTTCCTAGCATTTCCTTGTCCCCGTTGTAATTCTGGAAAAAAATAAACGAAGTTAATTTGATGGAAATGCTATAGTGTTTTCATGATGGCAAATACAAAGAGATTAATGAGAGAAAACTGAGCAAGATAGCATGATAAACGGACATATCAAAACGCTAAAGTTCCTCACCAGAAGGAAAGGATACCTTAAATCTGGGTCATGTCATCTTGCATTGATTTTAATTTAGAAAGTGAATAGTATTCATATTGTTTATGTTAGACACAGACATTTATAAATGGACTTGTGCATTTATACACAAATATAGTAGAAGTATCTAATACAATATGATATATACCACATCAATTCAAAATGAATGGCTTCTTATTACTGCCTACCGCCAACTTTGTTTTCAAAGCTCTGCCGATTAGTTTAATAAACAAGAATAAAAAAGTATTACAATTTGAAAGGTTTCAGTTATCTAAGTTCTAAAGGGATCACCATAATATATTTAAGTTGAGGGTTAATTAAGTCTACACGGTACCAAAGCGAGCAACTATTTTGGAATAGCATAGAACAAAGATATATATATATATATATATATATATATATATATATATATATATATATATATATATATATATATATATATATATATATATATATATATATATATATACAACCAT